TTTGGGGTATTGGTGGCTGCTAAAACTAGGTTGTAACATTTGGTAGCGGTAGATTTGTTAAATTTTAAAAAATATAACCGAGTTGTACAAGACAACTTTTTGGCTCTGAAATAAGTACTAAGCCTTACTTCGGGATAGGGCTTATTATTTTCACGTACAGGAGGTGGAGAGCACGGGGGCCGACAGGAGTCCCGCCCTCTCCGTTGCATTTCTCCGCCTTCGCCTTGTGTTTGTGGGACTAAAAAAAAGTTCAATCAAACCTTCCAACTTCTCATGAAAAAAAAGATGTTCTGAAGTTGGAAGGTCTGATTGAACTTTTTTTTTTAGTCCCACAAACACGCAGGAAAGGCTGAGAAATAAATGGAGAAATGCAATGCAGTGAAAGGCAGGTTATTGAAAAAACTGCTTGGGAGAGGCAAGGGCATCTGGGCTGGAGGGTTGGCAATTTTACTCTGCATGACTTCAGCAGGTGTCTGGCAGGCAGAGGGAAGCAGCTCCACCTGTTTTGCTTCATGGCGGCGGTAGCAGCAGCCAGCTGGGTGGAAGGTGAGCGGGCGGCAGCAGTCAGTAGAGGTCAAAAGTTCATAGCTGATAGGAGGGCTGCAGCGCCCGCCAGGGCCCGAAGAGCACCAGGTTCAGCCCGTAGCCTGGCGCATGCAGCACCGAATAGGCATGCAGGCTGGCGCTCAGCAGCTCAGAGGTGGAGGCCTGGGCAGCGCGGTTCCACCGGTGGCCATTGGCGAAGGGTCCTGGTAGACTGACAGAGCAGTGCTGCCAGGAGAACAAAGAGCCTCCACGAAGTCAGAAGCAGCATCTGCTTCACACCTGCCATGGCCGATAAGTGTCCCAGGAGCAGAAGGGCCAGCAGGCAGGGCGGGTGAAGACTGGGGATTGTCGAGAGCTTGGCTCACAGGCACTGCTAGAACAGCAGCAAAGCTGCAACCAGAGCCGAGGTCAGGCAGGGCAGTGGCAGGTTGCGCAGCAGCTGCATGCCCTGTGCAGGGAGCCGTTCCTGCCACTGCCTATCAACCTGGCTGAAGAGCAGCCCGACCCAGGCAGCAGGTGCAGCAAGCCCAGCCTTGGTGCTGGCCAGGCAGCAGCAGATTGTGAAATCGATCTGGGGAAGAACAGACTTACTTTCTTCCCTTTTAGCCCCTTCTGCGGACTCTTAAGAGCCAAGTGGCAATTGCTCAGGTAAAAGGTAAGGAGAGGTGAAGAAATCTTTCTCCCCCCATAGGCGCTCCCAACGCTGGCCACCTCCCCATCTGGCTGACAATCCTACTGCAGCTATGGCTTACTTTCGGGGAAGGGCTTACTTTCGGGAAAACATGGTACCCACACCTGAGACCATACCACAGAAGTTCAGTAGCAGACTATTTAACTTCTGCCAGTTAACTATCCTTCCATCCATCCAATAAGAGAAGAATAGGAGCAGCAACAGGCCTTGAGTGAGCACTGTTGAACCAACAGTTGAATCACAATGTTGCTGCTTAGGAAGTTAAATTGAACTGCACATTTGGATGTGAAAAGAAAAAAGAGCTTGGTATCCATAGTTTTCCAGTTCAGTTTTGTTTCTATATTCTAAAAATTATAGAATCTCAGCACTGAAGTTTTGCTGTAACATGGTTTGTTTTCTGAGAATTAATAAGTTCCAGTTCTGCTTATGGCATTGTGTTAAAGTAATGTAATAATATAAATTATAATTTATTTTATAAATTAGAGATTTGAGTGAGCATTGAAGATAGTGAATGTGGACTGAGAGCCATCCTTGTCCTTTGAATTATATACTGGGTGGTGAGAGTCAGGATAAAGCCTAAATTTTATCTTTTTAATTGAAATGATGAATAGTTAATATGATTATTTTCTGTTAAGATATTTACTAATTTTCCCACTCTAATTACATTAAAAATTGCTATTTGTAAAAATGTTCGGTATTCTAGTGTGATGCTCAAAACAATTTTACTATGTGTCAACCATACATAATGATTGAAATGGGAAAAAGTAAAGGTCTTGAGAAGTGGAATTTGTCTTCATCATTCTATTATCTACTTCATACTGTTCTCAGCTACAAAGTAATGAGGAAAAATGGGTTTTATTTAGATATTGAATTAAATAGACATAAGGAGCACTTTAGTTCTGGATTAAAGAGGTGAACCAGTCCTCCTTTCAAATGTAAATAAAGCTAGTTCTTGCTTAGCTACTGCAATCTATTCCAGTAAATGGTTACTTAGCAAACATGTGTCAGAAAGAAAGAAAGAGACTAAAGATTTCTGGTTGTTGCTATCTCCATAAGCTTCAGCTAGTGCAGAATGCAGCTGTGTAGGGGGGCCTGAGGGGCTCATGTTACACTATTGTTCCATAAGCTGCACTGGCTGCCATTTTGCTTCAGGTCCAATGCAAGGTGTTGGTTTTCAGCTTTAAAGCCCTGCATGGCATGGACCCAGCTTATCTGAGAAACCAATTCAACCTTGATGGAATTAGCCTGCCCCTTTCCTTATGCTACTAGTAGGGACATGCTATGGACCCTGTCAGCCAAGGAATTTTGACTGGCAGGATCTAGAACAGTGATGGCGAACCTTTTAAAGACTGAGTGCCCAAATTGCAACCCAAAACCCACTTATGCATAATTGAGTGCCAGGTGTGTGTGGCCCATTGGGTGGGCGTGGCTGTGGTGGTAATGGCAGACTAGGTGGAACTAAAAAGTTCAATCAATTCCAACTTTTCCCCCCGTGAGAAGTTGAAATTGACTGATTGAACCTTTTTCTCTTTTTTTGCACATGGCGGCAGAGGCCTAAAGCGAAAAGGTTTTATAAAACCCAGCTGAAGGCCTAGGACTGGGGCTATGGCATGTGTTCCCATAGAGAGAGCTCTGAGTGCCGCTTCTGGCACCCGTGCCACAAGTTCACCACCACTGGTCTAGAAGAAGAATCTTTTCTGCTATGGCTACTGCCCTATGGCTACTGCCCTCTGGATCAGGCCTTCTACCATCCTTTTGGCCTTCTGGAAGGCCTTGAAGATATGGTTGTGCAAACTAGCCTGGAGCCCCAATGGGAATGTGTCACTTTGGAGCTGACTAATGGAGTAGATAACACACCACCTTCTTCCTGTGCACACTTTGCTCTTCTCCTTGTTAATTTTTTAAATTGAATTTTAAATTTATGATCCTTACTTAGTGTTTTAATGTTTTATATTGCATTTGAATGCTTGTAAGCTATCCAGGGTTACTTCTGGCTAGATCAGGGGTCGGCAACTTGAAACAGTGAAAGAGCCACTTGGACCCGTTTCCCTCACAAAAGAAAAAACTGGGAGCCACAAAATGTGCACACGCGTGCACATGCAATGAACACGGGGAACAGGGCACTTGATTGAAGAGTGGAGCCTAAGGCGAGACATGACCCCCGTCTAGCTTTGGTACAGACGGCTCTGCTCCCAATGACATTGTGGCAAGGGGCAGCTTTGCCTACCTTGCAGGGAGGGCGGTGACTGGGGCAGCAGGAGGAAGGGGAGGAGGAGGGTGAGGAAGTTGCTGCTGCCCTAGCCGGGATTCCGCGCTGCCCGGGCTCACCCTCCACCCATGAGATGTAGCTGCGGCGGGCTGCTGGGAGGGCTAGTGCCGCGCAGCCCACTGGCCTGGCTGCAATGCTATGGCTGCTTTGCCTGACCGGCCCCTGCCAGCCCCTCCACCTGGTGCAAGTAAGCCAGGGAGGTGCTCAATGTGCCCTGTAGCCACTTCACAGCAGCGATCCGCGGACTCAGGGCCCCCCTCCCTCCCCCCACCACTGACCCTCCTGCTCTGCTGCTGCTTGGCCAGTGGTGCGCCAGCTGGGGACCTCAGAGGCTGCTCTTGGGCCCGCGACTTGTGGAAGGGCTGGCCTGCTCAGCGGAGGCTCCACGGGCCGCTCCCAGTGGGGATCCCGGGGCTTCCCTGGCCACGTGTACCTCAGACAGGACCAGCCCGGGAAAGAGACTTCCTGGCCCCTTCTCCCAGGGGGCAGGGCACCTGGGTGCAGGATCAATCAGGAGCCCCGTGGGGGCAAGTCGAGAGAGAGAGAGAGACGGGAAGCGCAAGTGGCTCTCTGTCTCTGTCTCTCTGCAAATGGCGGAGGAGGCTCCGGAGCCGCAAGAGAGCTCTGGAGCCGCAGGTTGCAAAGAGCTGTATGCAGCTCTGGAGCCGCGGGTTGCCGACGTGTGGGCTAGATGGTTAGCTCATAAATTTAATTAATTAATTAATTCTCTTGGGTAGCAATGCCCAAATTGCTTTCACTTCAGTCTGTGTTTTTAGGTGCAGAAATTTGGTTGTAAGTCCATGCATTGGCCAGATAATGATATTTTACTACTGTTCGTTAACTGTGATATTTGTAATCAATTGCTAATTAAAGTAGTTGCTAAATGAAGATTGGCTATTTTACTGGCATCTCTTATGGCCACTGCACTGCTGAGATATCTGTATAACTAGAGCTAAAGTCATATTTCTTCATTATTGTTTTCAGTTCTAGGGATAATCCTTTCTTGTATTAGATTTAAAATAGATGTGGTCCTGGTAATGACACAATTTATCAGGTTAAATTACTATGGCCAACTAATCTTTCCCTTTGTTTAAAAATGTTCATGAATACATACCAGTACGGTAGTTTACAAATCTTCAGAGTAGAGTATTGTGAATGAGGGACTCAAAGTATTTCCTCTGTAAGTGTAGAAAAGTATTAATCAAAAAAATTGATGTAATTTAGGAAGCAAATATTTATTTCGCTTTGAGTTGTTCCATTCCTTATTACTAACTTTATTCACATTTTGTAAAGCTTTTAGTATAAACCAATTATGATCAACATTACCATTCAGAGATAAATTATTTTGCCTTGTGTATTATATCATTACTGGTTAACCTGCTGTCAAATATATATAGTGTTTTGAAAATCAGGGCATCCTATTGATGACTGTAAGTTTTAGTATGACTGTGCCCATGACCTTTTCTAAAATGTGAATGCTATTTTATATTACAGGCTGCCTTGAAGTGAAGGCACATTGAGGTTGCCTCCTGGAATCTTTTTTTTTAAGAATCTGAAACAAGGGACTCATTTTTAGTTTGGACATGGCCAACCGAGGAGCAACTAGACCCAATGGGCCCAATGCTGGGAATAAGATATGTCAGTTCAAGTTAGTTCTTCTTGGTGAATCTGCAGTTGGCAAATCAAGTCTGGTGCTTCGCTTTGTTAAAGGCCAGTTTCATGAGTTCCAAGAAAGTACAATTGGAGGTGAGAAATATTAAAATTTCAAATTTAATCATTTATGCTTTATCTGTAATTCATGTCAAGGTAAATAAATTATGCTTAATTGTATCTCTGTCACAGGCTTATTGTATTGTGTAATTTTCAAATGGTTTTGGGCTCTTTTATTCCCTATGAATTTTTTAAGTATCTGTTTAAAAATCCATGTGACAAATTTTAGAGAAAGTTCTTTAATAAGATACACCTTAACTACAGATAATTTTATAATCTGCTGTATCTTACAATACAATAATGGTATGTGGAAATAATCTTGAGAAACCAGACACAGAGATGCTGCCTAGGGAATGATCAGTAAGAGGACCATAACTCATAGCTTAGCAGTCCCCAACCTTTTTTGCTCTATAGCAGTGGTTCTCAACCTGTGGGTTGGGACCCCATTTGGGGTCAAACAACCATTTCACAGGGGTCGCCAAACAACGTAGTCCGCCATTTTTTCCCCCTTTTCCTTAGCTGTGCTACTCCCTTTTATTCTGTTGGCTTTTGAAAGCCAATAGAATAGACTCTCTTGAATAGAGTCTAATTCTATTGGCTTTCAAAAGCCAATAGGAATTGTCCAGGCTGTCTCTGCCCTGCTGAACCCGCCAAAAGTCCCATTCTGCAAACGGTGCTGCACCAGTTGAGTAGTCCTCGACTTATGACCAGTTGGGGGGTCGCGGCATTAAAAAGGTTGAGAACCACTGCTCTATAGACCATTGGTGGTGAACCTATGGCACACGTGCCAGAGGCAGCACTCAGAGTCCTCTCTGTTGGCACGTGCGCCACCGCCGCGAGCAGCAGGTCCATCAGGCCACCACTGCTACCCAGAGTAGGAGCCCCGCCCAGCACAAAGGAGGCAAAGCAGCTCACTAGCAAGCTCCAGGTGGTAGAGCAGAGGTCACCAACCATTGTCCCGTGGCATGGCGGCGGCCGTTTTTGCACCTTGCAGCACAGTGGACCATTTTTGTGCCCCTGGGTTTTGAGTGCCAGAGGCAGCACTGAGAGGACCCTCCCTGCCCCCCCCCCCAGGGCACCACAATGGTGATGTGGCCCTGGCACTTTGCAATAAATAAGTGGGTTTTGGGTTGTGTTTTGGGCACTAGATCTCTAAAAGATTCGCCATCACTGCTATAGACCAACAGCAGCGGTTGGGGGAAGGGATGGTTTTTGCACATGCAACCTATCTTCTGCACATGCGCAAATGAAGCTTTGCCCACCATCACTTGTGTGGCCTGGTTCCCAACAGGCCTTGGACTGGTAGCGGTCCAGGGATTGGGACCCTTGTCATAACTACATAATGGATGGAGCAAGTGACTCAGGAAGGATACTCCCTAAGTTATCAAGCTGTAAAGATGATTGCAGGAGAATTATATTATTGGATTCCAAGATTGATGTCAGCCTATATAGGAATAGGAAACACCACCAGATAAATTAATTTTACTTTATGCTAAAGCTACATTTACAGAATCTTCAAATCTGAAAGTATAATTCTGTCACCATTGCTTTTACAGCATGGTAACCTAAGAAAGGTCCCTCCTTACCCTCTTGTTTTGTCTGCTGTGCAGCTGTGGGCTGTGTTCCCTTTTATCTGAGTATTTCCTAGGCAGTATCTTTTTATCTGGTGTTCCAAAGTCATTCCTACATACCATTTACAGGAACTTACAACCACAACTGAGCCCAAAATTTCCATTCCTAGATGAGGCAGTTCTTAAGTGAGTTATGCCTCATTTTACGACCTTTTTGCTACTATTGATAAGGAGATCAATTAAGTGAATCGTGGTCATTAAGTGAATCTAGATTCCCCCCCCCCATAGATTTTGCTTGTCAGAAGCTGGCTAAGAATGTTAAAAAACTCGAGATAGTGCAACTGATAAATACATGGCAGTTTCCAATTCCCAAACTTTGATTATTTGACCGTGGGTATGCTGCAATGGTTATAAATGTGAAAAACAGTCATAAATTTTTCCAGGGCTGTTGTAACTTTGAATAATCACTAAATGAATGGTTGTAAGTTGAGGATTACTTGTACATTTATTGACCATTTGTTTGAAGTCGCATTAGCATTAGTATCAGATCCTTTCATGCTATGTAGCATATTGGGCAACAAGGGATCTCCAGCATTTTTTATTTTGGGTGAGTACTTTAGTATCTTCCCATGTGATGTTTAGAGTCTTTTAAGTCTTCCATGAACGCTCTTTGCCATGTATTTTGAGGGCATCCTCTTGGATATTTGGCATCGGGACAGGGAGTGTCCATCTCATTGCCATCTTGGGGATTCAATTGTTCTCCATATGGGGAATATAACCTGCAAATTGGAATCTTCTGCATGCAATAATGTTATGTAATTTGTTAGTAATATGGTCAAAATAGTAAATCTTTAGGATTTGATGAAGGCATCTTCGTTGGAAGACATCAGGTCTGTTGTTATACTCGCTGTCGCCTTCTGTGTCTTACTGGCATAAAGGGCTGTCGGGATTGCTATAGAGGCAAGCAATCAGCGTTTATCTTTCAGTGATATAGACAACGACCAATTTTTATTCATACTCTTGAAAATAGCTGTTGCTTTTCCAATGTGGCTCTGATGCCTATCTGTGCATCTTCCATTTCGGACAGTTATACTATCCAAAGAGGTAAAACTTTCTACTTCCTCAAATTGCTATGATCCAAGTGTGATTTTCCTTATCTGTGCAGGGGGGCTCAGATTTATGATCTTCGATTTCTTGGCACTTATCCTGAGGCCAATTTGGTTATTTCTTCATCAGAGACAGTTGTCACTTGTTATAGTTTTGTCTCATCTTTCTCAAGGCAATATCATCTACAAAATACAGATCACCAACTTGCAAAGTTACAACAGTGCATAAACAAATAAATAGCCCTTTTATGACTTTTGCAGTGTTCCTCAGTCACATGATCACAATTGTAGTCCATAACCATTGTTCTGTGTCTGACCTATGGGGTTTTTTCCCTCTTACGAAGACACGCATCATAATACCAGTGATGTTTATGTGGAAGATTAATATGTTCTCTGTTCAGGGCATTACTATTACTGCTCTGTAATGATTACAGGTAGAGATCCTGGAACAGTATCCAAGTAAACTATTGATATCTGAGAAAAAATATTTCTTTGACCACAAGTTAAAGCACAGCTTAAGTGCCTAAAATATGCCAATTGTGTTATTAGTGCTTTTGATTCTAATTAGCAATGACTTTCTTTACTTTAATGCTGCTCCCACAGCTGGCTTGAAAGGGAAGTAGAGGAAAACCCCATATGAAACTTGACACTGCCCATGTGATATGGATACTATATAAACCACAGCTTATACTGGCTTATACTGCCAGTTTTACAGGGACATTTGCCACTAGTTGATTACCCCACTTTTATTTAAATTTCTGGGGTCTCTGTTAAACAATCAAGGAATATTTATTAGTGTAAACATAGTAAAGTTTTATTACATTATGTATAAACTTCACTCACAAATAGTTGCCAATAATTCATGTTGTTCGGGATAGTTTGCTACTGTTCATTTCATTGAATATATTTTTATTGGTCAATGACTGAAATACAGTTTCTATTTTCTGTCTAGTTCAGCAATGCTCAACCTTTTCGAGTTGGTGGCTGGGCACGGGGGGGGGAGAGGGGATGATTTTGTGTGAGAGGCAAATGTGTGCACACGCATAGCTTCATTTGTATGAGTAGCAGTCGGCGCTTGCGTGAATGGGGTTGCTCATTGCTCATGTGAGTCGGGCTGCACCAGCCTGCCACTCACGTGTCCCAGTTGCAACTAAGCCACGGCCCACAGGTTGGGGACCCCTGGTCTAGTCCATTAGTATGGTGCTCCAACATCTATCTTTGTTGGGAAGAACCAGTGGTCTTCTTTGGCCATGATGGTGGAATAGCACTTACGTATGGTAAACCCTATGTTGTTTCCTCATTATAGATATATAACAATGATTATCAACACTGCTAATTAATAACACAAAAAATATTTACATACGCACATCTGTTATTGGTATGCTTGGGTCTTTAAGCATTCTCTCTTCCCCTTCTTCATGGATTGAGCACATGTTTAGAATTCAGTGTACTATTGGGGACAACTTGTTCATCGGTTATTTTATACATCCTTAGTAATTGATAAAATTCCAATAATTTTATGTGTTTAAAATACCAAGGAGCCATGGAGGCACAGTGGTTAGAATGCAGTATTGCAGTCTAATTCAGGTCACTGCCATGAGTTCGATCCTCACTGGCTCAAGGTTGATTCAGTCTTCCAAGGTTGGTAAAATGAGGGCCCAGATTGTTGGGGACAATATGCTGACTCTGTAAACCGCTTAGAGAGGGCTGTAAAGCACTATGAAGCAGTATAAAAGTCTTATTGCTATTGCTATTAATGAACAATTGCCCTGAGATGTTTTTACTAAATCTGTTTTAATAGTACTGTAAATGTTTGCAAGACATTCTGAAAAATAAGGAATTGGCAGCCTAGAGCCTTAAGATCTGATCTAAATGAGGACAATTGCACTGGCTATACATGCAACAGTACAATGTAAACACACAGTCTGTTATCTTGGACATTGCCAGACATGTACCATTAAAGGTATCCTATGAGGTTCAGCCAATACTTTGTATGTGGTAACCAATAAAATTAGGGTGATCATGTGAACTGCAAAAAATTGGACAACCAGCAGATGGCAGCAAAAATTTTTTTATATTTGCTGTCATTTTCAGTGATGCAGTTACAGTCTACATGTGTTTGCCCTAAAAAAAATATTGGTCAGTTTTGTCTCAGAATAGAAGTCTATGCACAATATAACATGGATGATATAACATGAATGTTATTTATTTCATTTTTGTATACATATTTCCAGTTTTGTCTATTGCATTAGATCCTGGTGACGTAAGTTGAAATAAAAATACATCATACAGTATTTAGGTTTGCATAATCTGCTAGATTATTGTTGCTTTCTTCAGAATTCTTGTAATAAATACAAAT